ATAAAATAAAAAAATTTATATCTTTATGTTTGAAGCCTGAAATGTGGCAAAAGGTTGAAAAGTTCAAGGGGGCCGAATACTTTCGCAAGGCACTGTAATCTTCAGATGGGGAGCAGTCATTGGCCAGGATACAAGTGATACATTCTGTACAGCCTGCAGGGCTGTATGAATGATGTTCTTGGAATTAGCCTAATGCACATGATAAAACCATGGAAATACAAGAGACTGTGGCTGTCCAGGCAACACTGGGCTAAATTAACTGAACATTCTGTTCAGTTTACACTGAAATTAAAGGCATGGTCTGTTGATAACAGAGAAATCTCAGTATTGCAGTGTTCTGCCTGTGTGCGCAGAAGGAATAAGTTGGTTACACCATCATAGTCTAGGGTATTCCCCTCCCCATATGGGTCAAAACATTTCCACCTGCCCACTGGCAAAGATGAGGCAGCAGTGGAAAGCCAGAGAATTTAGTTAGAATTTGCTAGTACTCCTGCAGACTACTACTGGTACACTGGAAAATTTTGCTCTGGAAACTCTGACAATACCCCTATTAATTATTATCACTGTATTGTTTCTCATATTCACTGTCTCCAGCATTGCTGGCTCAGAGGAAAGAACTGTGTGTAGATTGCAGTGGAGTGCTGTAACACTCCGTGTAAAACTCTACTGTGGTATCCTGTGTTAAATGGACAGTAAAGTGGAGCATAAAACAACATCATAAAACCTTTGTAAAATACAAAGATACAGAGTTAACTAAAAAGCATTGTAAAGAAAAGTTAATGTGTATTATAAAAGAGAACTAACAGGATAAACTGTAGCATGAAATTTGAAATGTAAAATGTTACCACAGTAATTGTTTTTTTTTTATGAAGACTGGCAACTGTATTTGTTTAATTGAAAAAAGGAACCAACAATAAACAAATAACACAAATGTTTTCCTAGGGTAGATTGGGAACACATTCAGCTGAATTTGATGCCTGTGACACCACTGCAGGGGAGAAACACTATTATCAGCCTCTCTGCAGTGCCACACGTGCATCTTGTGGGTCTGTTAATGCCCTCCGCTTGTCCAGGGGTATAATAGGTGGGCAATGAGCATCTTTGATCCACCACTGCATTGTATGAAGCACAGAGTCAGCCTTGTCAGATCCACAGCCCTCAATCCTAGCCTGGTCACACGATGACACGCTGGATGGGAAAAGCACTTTGGCACCCCAATGTTCCCTTCTTCCAACACTTAAAATAATAGACCAAATGCCACATAAGAGAGAAAATTGGATCTCTGTGCAACATGATCTGTGGTTCCTTAAAAAATGCTGCTAGCAGCGCAAAAGGATTGGTCTTCTGTCCAATGTGTTTCAGCCGGTGAGAGCAGAAACCAACGCACACAGACATACAGGGTCATAAACACCCATCTTACCCCCACCCACATCTGTCCCCTTGCCCTCAGCCGGCTATTTGATCCTCTTGGCCACATCCAGGTAAGCAAACTCAATCTCGCGGTCGGCAGGGCAGGTGTTGATGAATTCCTCTCTCAGGTACGCATTTTTCAGGTAACGCCACACCCCCATCATGTCCGCTGGGATCTCGAACTTCCGATATTTCCTGGCCACTACCTGGAAAAACCCCACAGGACTATGAGCATGACCAGGCAGGGAAAAGCTCAAGTTTGTATCTCTGCCTGGGTTTTACTTAATAGTTTCACTTTTATCATTTTTTCTTAAACATTTGTAGGCTATCATGAATTTGGTTCTTTTTAGAAATTTTTATAAAGACAGGATCTTGGTTGTACACAGTATAGACCAACAACAGGTAATAAAACATTGTAGCCTAATAATGTGCTATATAGACAGAGGACAGGCAATACAAGAGGCAGTCCAGTACCTTGGTTGTGTGTAGTATAGACAGAGGATAGTCTATACAGGCCAGTATCTTGATGGAGTATAGATGAAGAACAGATGGAGCAGTCCAGTACTGTACCTTGATGAAGTGCATGATAGATAGAGGACCAGTTCAGTACCTTGATGATATGCAGTTTTGGTAGCAAGTTGCAGTCGGCAAGTGTAAGCTCATCTCCATCCAGGAAGCTGCGGGTGGATGGCCCCGGTTCCTCTGTGCTGTCAGCATCAATCTCTTCAGGCAGTGGAGTGTTCAGGTGGTCATCCAGTCGTCGCAGTGCCTTCAACAGGGCCTTTTCTAGGGCTTTTGAGGAACAAGCAGATTTAATTCACATAGAAGAACCACATTGCACTGTTAGTGCGACTCACTTGACTGGTAGACCAGTCTGCACTTTCAGCTTTGTATTGACAGTCAGACTCAAGCTGAAGAATATATCAAGAGGGTCCAGTTTCTAACACCATCATTCTCATTTTTCATTTTCATTTTCGTTTTTTTTTCACAATGTAATGTGAAACCCCTTGAGATTCACCATCTCATTTTCAAGGGGACCCTAGAATACATAAGCAATACTTAAACAAAAAAGAAATAAACAAATTATAACAAAAAAGAAGAAAAAGTAAAATAACACAAAGAAAGAAGAAAAACAAAAGTAAATAAAAATACAAACTATATAGATGCCATGCAAATGGAATAAATAATATCTGGAAATTAATAAGAGTAGAATTATTTCAATACAAGAACCTTCAGTTTTTTAAATACAAAATTAGTTTGTTTTAAAATACACAAATTAAACTCTGTGATCTTAATTCAAAGGGTAAGTTATGAAGTAAGACACAAGATGTAAAAAGGGTTAACTTAAGTTCTGCCTGAAAATTAGACTTCTAAGCAACAGGAAAGGGGGTTAACTGATAAGGATTTCAGATGCAAGCTAGGAACCCCCCTGGGTGTAATCTTAAACTGACCATTTGGCCAGGATCTCTTAACTGGCCAAATACCATGACCCCCCTCTTCACCATAAGGCCGAGTGACGTCAGAAACGGAAAAGAAAATACTATATAACCTAAAAGTTTGTACCGGCACATTGAACAATACTTCGGTTTTGTTTTTTCATTTGGGAAACAAGACTTCGGCTTTATTGTTCCTTGCATGCAATAAACTCATCTGTTTAACTCGGGATCCAGAACCTTATTCTTTCTGTTACAACAATTGTGGCATAGTCGGCTGGATGCTCCAGAAGGCACAGAACTTCCCATCGGCAGGAGAGACGGTCAGCACGCACATTACTAAGAGGTAAGGACTCCTCTTTTATTTAAAAGTCCCGACTCTCTCTGACCAATTGGGAAATCTCTGCTCCCTGCGAGAATCGCCCGAAATGACGGAGTAAACGTGAGTTCCTGGATACCTCTGGCCCGGGGAAGACACCGGTAATGGGTATGTAATGGGTGGTTTGCTGTAAGCCCAGAAGTTGGTCTGGCAGGCGGTGATTTGCGGTATGCCTTAATTGCACGTACAATATGAAACTGGGTGTCGGGTGTATGCCTTAAACTGGTATGTATGAAACTGGTGTCGGGTGTATGCCTTAATTGCACCGGGCTTTTGAATGGGTTTGGACCTTTACCGTGAGGCTCAGGATCGGTGTGGGCCTTAATTGTTCCCGGGGTTCTGAACCTGAGTGGTGCCTCAAGGTAGGCATGTAATCCAGGAATGGTTTGGGCCTTAATTGCACCTGGAGTTCTGAGGCTTGAGTGGTGCTTTGAATGCACATATAATTCAGGATTGGGTCCTGAGAGTAGCTACGTCTTGATCGTGCACGGATAGGAGTGGCATGGTTTTCTTTTGTTTTGTTTTAAAGGGAACAGGAAAGACGTAGATGATACATGTATGTTTTTCGTGTTTTCCTCCATTTAAAGGGAGCAGCAGAGACGTAGATATAGATGTATGTTTCTGGTGTATTTCTTGTTTGTGAACATATACACATGCACGATACATAAACCATAAACACACCTCATAATAAAAGAGCAAAGCACTAAGTAGCAGGATTTAAAGGATGTTGAGACCCGAGAATCGCCCTGATTGAGCTCAGTGTGTAAGTCCACCCAGGGGCAAAAGCAGCGATGCTGGCATTCTGGGGATGGTGAATTACTGATCAAGGAAGGGGGGTTTCAAGGTCTCGTTTCTTACCTGTGAACAGTGCGGTGTAAGTCCTCTTTAAAGTCTCTGTGAGGCATTTAGATCTGGAGGTAACAGACGCCCTTAACTGAATGAGTGCAGTAATGCACAGGATTTTCAAGTAAAAGCATCCCCGTACTGTATGAGCTGTTACCTCACACAAAGTAAACTCTTAAAGAGACTGAACATGTGTGCTAACTGATGGTCTGAGAAAGTAGTGTAAGGGTCCGTTTATATATCGGAAAAGTGTAAATTGACGGAAAAGAAGGAGAAAAATATGGAAAAAGCTGAGTTTGTCAGAGGGAGTTTGGGGCAAAGAAGCCTGTAAAGAAAGCATATGAGTATTGATTGCCAAAAGCATAAGCATGTAGCTCCCACCATGGTGCACAGCCGGCACCAGTGGTGGCAGATACATGAGAAAAAAAAAGAGAAATTGGGATGTGATTACTAAAAAGTGTGTTTACGAAAAAAAACTGAAAGAAAATATACTTTACTCACTACAAAGAGTATGAACAAAAGCGAAAAGAGGCAGTGCAGGAGAATCAGAAACTAAAGGAAGAATTCGTTCCTGGTCGCACTGCACTAGTTAATGTGTTACAACCGTCAACTAAATTATATCCTGTTCTCCCATAGGGGAACAGACAGGCAGGAAATGAAAATAATTGGGATCAATTCCCACATATGGAGACGGGGGGGTCTGAGTGGGATGACATCTGGTACGAGTGTAATAGAGACAGAACAGGGACTCCCCTCTTAAAGGGAGGGTGCCCGCAGATCTGTACTCTCACCCGAAGTGGGAAAGGACTTGATGTAGCGGGGGCTGGCGCTGTTGATGACAGCGTCACTCTACCTGTCTCGCACCCCGTCGAGGGGGTCCGCACTCACACCTACTTTCCCTGATTCTCCCATACGATCAAATCCAAAACCGGAAAATATTGACCAGTTGGCTAAAGAAGTACCGCATCCGAAATTAGGAATGCAGTGAACCTGGAGTGCGCTTCAGGAATTAAAACGATTCATGTAGAAGTGAAACAAAATACAGCGCATTGTAGTACGAAGAGAAAAAATATATTCTCGATGTGTATGTGTGTTTTATGAATTTGTGTGCCACCATGTATGTGTGTAACTGTGAGTTTTGGTATACTAAATGACGGTG